ATTGGTGCAAATATATGAGAACTTACACAAAATACAGACATTCAATTAAACAGAAGAACCATTACCAAGAGCCAAGAAAGTTGAAAAATGGTAAATTTTTAATAACCTGTCATTAATTATAAATTTAAGATACAGTTGCTTGCATTAGCAAGCTCTGAATGGACAGCCTCACGTTTTCTTTCCAAACAGGGAACGCTAGACATGAGTTACAAAATTAACTGAAGATTTTTAACTACGTGTGGGTGTGTCACAGCAGGGGCACTTGTGACCACAATGTCAAGAATATCTTCACAGGCAGAGAAGACCATAGGTCCCTTGATGGCTAAACCAGAGGGAAAGGATTTGTGAACAGTCCTTGCCTAAGAAAAACTGAAACAGTCTAGGCAGTACGAACCAAACCAGGGCAGCAGATACAGCAGGAGCTCCATCTCAATAGTTTTTAAGATGAGAAAAATATGGCTACAGCCATAAAAATTTTAAGTCTGTTTCTGTTTCTTCAGGCTTGGTCTTTGCCTTGGCTGCTTCTTTGGTCTCTGCACAGCATTCTTAACACTGGCAGAAGGAAGCCTGACAGTTACTTCATCATCCTCTGTGTCATCATCCACCCGAGCAGCTTTCCGGCGCTCCAGCACTGCTGGAGTACAGACTGGAGTAGGATCCTGAAGAGATCAGAAAAACAGGATTCACTGCAAAGCCATCTGCCAGAAAAGAGCTGTCACTGCCCCTGTGATACCACAAGACACCTCAGTCCAGCTCTCCTTCAGAAAATTGTTTTCATTTCGTAAGTAGCTACTTTTGTAGACATTATTTCTTTGGACAGAAGTGTCACCTCCAAAGAAGTGTATGTGAAAGGCAACTGGAAATTAATTCACATTTTCTAACATGTTGTTATGCACATTTGCTTTCTAAACTCTGTATTTCCTGACTCAAAGCATCACGAAAGTCAGATGGAAGAAAATCAGGACAATGGGGCGGGGGATGAGGGAGTATATTTGAGGCTGGCATACAGAAATGCCACATTCAAGTTTACAGCAGAGCTGAAACATCCCAGCTTCATTACCTCAGTAAGCCCTCAGAACTCAGTGGACAGAATATATTAGTTATCCTGTCTTCCTCACAACCAGCCATGCTCCAATTATCACAAGTAAACCCAGTAATAATAAAAATTCCCAAAAACCACACACATCCTCCAACTCATAACAATGATAGAACAGAAACATTAATGCCTTACAGACTTTTTAGATTGTCAATATCCCAAATCTCAATCCTGATGACCTGAAATTCCCTTTCATCCTACTGCTACTTTTACCTGGTATGTTTCCAAAATACCAAATACCATGCCTGGAGAGCATGGGGTAGGAGGGACAGTACAGTATGGAAATGAGAACAGACAGCACTAGACTGTATTAACAATTAACTCCCTTTTAATCAAAACAGGCTGGCATTGAAACATGGTCCAACAGAAAGACTCCATCAAGGAGATCATGTCCTCCCAGTGTAAAGCACAGGTGCAGGGGATGTACAGGTGCCTGGCCCCAGCACCCTGCACTACTGCAGCCTTGAGGTAGCGCTGAACAGCAGAGGCTGACAGCAGACACACCAAGGGACAGGCACTGCTGGTTACAGCGTGCTGAGCTGAAGCCTTTGCTGCTGAATACTCTCACAGGAGAAGGAACCATGAGGATTCAATCACCCTCCCTCATTCAAGCGTGTAAATACATCTCAAAGAGTTACTTCTGACACAAACATCTCTCAAGCAAAAAATGTCAAGATTTTGTGTTTTGAAATCAGTATTAAGGTGCCAGTTGAAGATTGTAAGCATCTGCCCCAATGTGAATGGTGGTACTGGACATCACCAGGACTGCTCCGTCTTACCTGGCTGATCAAAGAAACGTTCAGTTTTGATTTCTTGGATGTTTTAACTTTTTTTCTCTTTTTGGAAAGCTCCTGTGCAGCCTAGGAAGCAAGACAGATCAGGTGGATCACTATACACTTGTGTGAAGACGCTGTCATTTAACAGTTCATAATTTGTTTCATAACTACAAAGTCTTTGCTACAGCAAATAGATTTAAAGTAATAAACTGACTGACACAGAGGTGATCTGGTTTGAACAAAAATACCAAAAGCAACACAAAAAACCATGCTACTGTGCATTTTAAAAACATTCCATGCTAAACAGCATTAACTGCTCACAACTCAAGTACCTGACCCAAGCGCTCTGCAGAGGAGGAACATGCAAGGGCTGTGGATGAAAGTTCTGGTCTCGACACCTACCTTCAAACTCCCACTCTGCCAAAGTCTCCCACAGGGCTCAGCAAAGCCCCTCTGCTGTTTGATGATCTGCACTCCAGTATTAAACCCCAGAATATCCAACTGCTTGTACCAACAGAAGAAAAGGAACACCTCCCCTTTGCTGTTACTTATTTACTTCTCTACAAATAAATACACAGGCACACGGAGTGCAGCCCAGCAACACTGGGCTGAATTCCTGGAGCTTCTGTACAGTTCCTAAGACAAGTGAGCCTCGCTCAGGCTCCAGCTCTTTTGGCAGTTCCACACAAAACACACGATTTCCATGTATTCAGCACAACCCTAGAAACACATCTTGCTTATCAACACGATCATCGGAACGATGCCCAACTTACAAATCCTGGGAAGTCATAGTCGAGCCCCTTTTCAGCCAGCTTCTTCCGTAGAAGCCTCTCCTTGCGCAGCAGGCGCTGGGTCATCCTGGCCTTCTCTAGCAGGGAGCGGATCTTGTTGTAGCGCCGCACCGCCGGCTGGGAGGGCTTCCGGAACCTCCTGTCACAGTCCTTGAACAGGTTTTCATGGACCTTTTCGGGAGGCATGAACTGACCTGCACCAAACATGGGGCACAGGGTAACAGCAGAGCTCCCCTTCCCGCCAAGGGACTCACACAACACAGCTCAGGCCTAGAACACTCTGCTGGTGCAGCCATTTAGGAACACAACAAGGCCACTGGATCCTCAGCCAGTAAGAGAAATGGATGGATGGATGGATGGATGGATGGATGGATGGATGGATGGATGGATGGAACACTTTAACAGTTTCACCCAGAAAAATCAGACAAAATTGTTTTACACCACCACAAAACTCATAATCCTTTACAAAGGAAGTTTTACTGTTACCATCATCCATCCATGCATCCATCATCCATAATCCATCATACATCATCCATCCATCATCCATCATCCATGACTGAGAAACTCAGTGATTTCATCCATCTTTTACTCAAAAAAACCTCTATGTTAAACCTTACAGACAACAACTGCAGCAGTTACTAATGCGAAGGAGTTTCCATGTGAAAGGATCTATCTCTACAGCAAACCCAACCTCGCCCTGAGATTTTACATTGCACAATCACTAAGAGCAATATCAGCCCAGAGAAAATCAGCACTAGTGACCAAAAGCTTGCTGAGCACGTTCTTTACACGATGAAAAGCTCAGCCCCACAGAAAATACTTCTGGGGCAAAACTTCATCAAAAACCCCCAATTCTATGTGCAGTTGAAAAAGATAACTAAAATAACTACAAGTTTCCTTTGCATGCTAGAGGACTTACACTGCAGCTGATACTTACACTTCAGCAGTCTCTCAGAAAACAGGTAGTTATTCATTGTGTCTGCAACAATCTTGGCCACATCATCAGACTCAAACTCCATAAATGCATAGCCTTTGCTGGCTCCAGTCTGTGAGTGACAACAGAGCAAAATGAAACAATGCTTTGGTAGCTGAAGGGCTCTATTAAAATTATTTTATTATTCTTCCAAAGTCATAGCCCGTTCTCAACTAACCACAAGTAATTTCACAAAGTTCACTGAAATTGTGAAAAGTACCGGATTTAGTCCTAAACTGATATGATATCATTTGTAAAACAAACTGCTCAAACTACTTTTTTAAAAAAACAAAGTTGCCCTGCATTATTGCTGTTCCATGCTTATACATAGTCTTATAATGTGACAGCAAACCCAGAAGTGAGAAGAAATTCGGTTTATCGAACACAAAGCAAAAAGTAAGTTCAAACAGAATCGTGGCACTTCAGCTGTACCTTGAACTGGTGCGCTCCGGCACTTCCCACTGGAGTGAATTCTTACAGAAAAAAGGACCACAAGAGCCGTGGCCCAGCCGCCGCCTCGCAGTCGGAGACAGCTCTGTCCAGGCACGGCCCGCCGCATCCCACGTGGGGTTCCCGAGGGCCTCAGGGCGCTGCGGCCTCTGCGCCTTCCCACGGCCCTTGCTGGGCAAGGGGGAACCCCAGAGGTCACGCAGAGTACCCGGCTCGGCCTTGGGCCCCGATTACGAGCGCTCCGCCGCACTACGGTACTGCACGGGCCGCAGGAGCTCCTTACCTTCTTACTCCTGGAGAGCCGCAGCCGCGTCACCGTCCCGAACTGCCCGAAGTACTCGCGGAGCTGCGGCTCATAGAGGCCCCGCGGGAGATGCCCCACGAACACCACGCCCGGCGTCAGCTCCTCCTGCGGGCACACAAACACCGCGTCAGCCCGGGCTGGGACTCGCCGGGCCGCTCCCGCCCCGCCGGGCCGCCCCGCTCACCTTGGCCGTCCGCTTGGTGCGGGCCCGCTGCACCTTCTGTTGGAACTGGCGCTGCAGCCGCGGCTCCAGCGCCAGGAGCGGCGCCGCCTTCACAGCCGTGGCAGACGCGGGCACCTCCGCCGCCATGGCCACCTCCGCCGCCATGCTGCCTCCGCACGGCTGCCGGAAGTGCGTCACTACCCTCGCGCCGGCGCCGCGCGGCCAGACGCCGTCTCCCAGCAACGGGGCGGACGGGCCCTCGCGCCCCCACCGGGCCCGGTCCTACCGCACCGCCTGAGACACGGACACCGCCGGGGAGACAAACTCCCTCCCTGAGAGAGCCCAACTCTCCCCCGTGGGGCGATCAGCACTCTCTGAGCACCCTCCTAGCCGCCCCTCCATCCATTCCTGGCTGCTCCGGCCGCTCAGGCGGTGCGCAGGGCAGCCCGGCGTGGCGCGGTCAGGCGGTGCGTTGGGCAGCCGCGCGCCGGCAGCGCGGAAGGCCCCGTGGGCGGGAAGCGGCGGCACCATGTCGGTGAGCGAGATGTTCGCGGAGCTGCAGGGAGCGCTCGGCCAGGACCAGGACATCCGAGAGGTGCCGGGGCGGGAGGCACGGGCACGGGAGGGAACGGAACAGGGCAGTGCAGTGCAGTGCAGTGCAGTGCAGTGCAGTGCAGTGCAGTGCAGTGCAGTGCCTGGGCTGACGGCGCGCTGTGCCCACAGGAGATCCGGAAGGTGGTGCAGGCACTGGAGCAGACGGCGCGGGAGATCCTGACGCTGCTGCAGGGCGTGCACCAGGGGCCCGGCTTCCAGCACAGTGAGTCCCGCACCGCCGCCACCGGGCAGCGGAGAACAGTCGGGGCGCGGGAGTGCTTTTCCAGGTTCCAGTCTCCCGGGGCCTTCAGCATGGGTTTCTCGGAGGCTGCTGGAAAGAGGAGTGTGCAGCTGGGAGGTTTCAAGCCAGACGAGTAGTAAAGCTGCCATTAAGCATTATGGAACACCGTTCTGTCCCTTTCTTCTCTCCCTAGCGTGGTGCTTTTCTGTCTCGGTGCAGAGCAGTGTGTTCTTTTCCAGGTGTCTTGGGCTGCTGAGTTGGTTCTTAGGTCTCCCTGTAAGTGGCTTGCACATAGATTGTGTTGTCATCACTTGTTGAACCTTTGTGTCCATGTCCCAGTCCCATCTCTTCACCCCACACCCCAAAAAGCTGTGGTCCTGAGTGCTGAGGGGTATTCAGGATGGGGAGAGGAACACCCTTCAATCTGGTTTGTACAAAACAGATTCTCTATGTGTGTATAAAATCTGCTTAACGCAGCAAAGTGTAAAAAGAATTTGCAAAGGCTGAAACAGCAGGAGCTGCCCTCAATGCCTGTTTGAGCAACAGCAGAAATTGTTCTACAGCTTTGGAGATTTTTGTCAGCCTGGTTCCAGGCTTCTGAGGTGTTGGACCTGGGCCAGCCCATTTCCTCCAGGCCACAAGAGCAGCTCTGCAGGTGTCAGATCTGCTCTTTCTGCCCCCTCATTTCTCAGCTTACTGGTGAAGCTACTGGAATAAGTTTAAATATGTCCCTTAAGAGCTGGAGTTTTTCCAGTTAATTAATATCTTGTGAGAAGAAGCAGTCATTCTGACTTTGCTGGAAACTCTTGAGAGGAATTTGTGCAAAGCCACCCTATGAAGGAAAATTGAACCACCCTCCCCAGGTGCTGTTTTACTCTCTTGCAGAGCTGACTGGTTGTTTTCAGCCTGCTGAGGTTGCCCAGCATACTGGGGCTGGAGCTGAAGGCCTGGGGTTTCTCTGGCCTCAGAGAGGTTCGGTGTTCAGCAAAGAGTAGCACCTGAGGTTTGTGTAAGTTCCATCTGCTGGGAAACCTGGCAGTGCTGGAAATCAGAGCTGCCCAGTGGTTATTTGCACAAGCAGATGCTCAGTTCTCCAACCTGGGAAAATACATGGTCATTTGTGTGGATAGCAGTTACTTCAGAGTGGTTTTCAAGTGTTTAATTGTAGAGGTCCGTGTTCAACTTAGTGTATTTTCACTTGGTTTTTAATTCCTGGAGAGAGCTGGTCCTGAAACTGGAGGAGTCTGGGAAGAGATTTGGAATAGTTAAAGGAAAAAAGAGAACAAAATCAACTAAAAACAAAACAAAAAAAACCCAAAAAAAGTACAAACAAAAAACCAACCAGACAAAATCCCCAAAGCCTCATCTTATAATTCCTGCAAAAATAATGAGTTCATGCTTAATAGGTCAAGAGTTTACTCATGATAACAGACCTGTGAATTTGTCATCAAATTCAGCTCTGTCAGTAAAACTATGGGATAGTTGGGAGTTTGATGGAGGACAGCTTCCTGAGCCTTTACAGTTAGGATTGTTTGTTTTTGTCACAGGTGCCTTTGGCAGAATCCAAATGTGAATGTGTTCCTTACACTGTTCTGTCAGCCACGTTCTGCTCACACAACTAAGGGAACCCTGTAGCTCTCATTGAGCTCTTTCATCCTGGCTGCCACATGGAGCACTCCCACATTCTGCTTCCTGAAGCTTTTATTTTTTGCATGTTGTTCTCCCTCCCCTTTTTTTTTTTTTAAACAGAAACTGTATGTTTTTAACAGAAGTTTTATAATCACACTTGAGTGACTCCTAGTAGGTGTTGTTGGTAAAAACCATCGCTGGTTTCAGATTTAGGATCTGTGAATAATCGCGGCTTCTGAACATGAAGATGCAGGAGGGCCTGTGAGATTGATCCTCGGCCTTCCCTGGGCTGTGAGCAGCAGGTGTGGGAGGGCTGCAGTGCAGCTGTGCCTGGAGCCCTTTGGCCAGTGCTGGCCCTGCAGGTGCAGCGGCGCTGTAGCTCTGTCGGCGAACGGGAGGTGGCAGTGGCTGCTGCAGGAACGAGAGAGATCGTTTCTCTACAGAGCTGTAACACACACTGGACAGACTGGAACCCAGGCTCTTCAAATACATCGTAAAAAGCAGGAAATGCAGTTTCCTGAAGGGATGTTGCACCTTGTGTAGCCAAGTTCTGATGGATTAGGAAAAAAATAGGATAAGATTTTAATATGGAGAAAGAAAAGTTGCTTTTCCTTGGACTGTGAGAGTTGTCTGGCAGCAGTACTTGGTGTGTGTGTGCTTCCTTTGGGGCCAGCTGCTGTGTGCAGTGCTGTTTCATTGTTTGGGATTTGGCTATTGCTGGGACATCTTGGCTCAATTTCAAACCAGAGGCCCAGAGAAGATGAGACAGCCTGGAATTCCAGAGTCTTTCTGCTTTAACTCTATGGCTCGTGGTGTCACCAGGAATACTTCTCAGATTGATTCCAAGTGTCAGTAGTCTCTCTTGGACAAGAAAGATGAATAAATAGCACTGTCTACACTGGAAAACTGTGTTTACAAACCTCTGTTGCCTGTCAAATGTCCATTTCCTCAGTGTATTCATTCCCTGAATGCTGTGCTATTTCTTTTTCAGTTTCAAAGAAGTGTCAGAAAGCTCGTGAGCACTTTGGTACGGTGAGGACACAGATGGAGTCTCTGAAGACCAAGTTTCCTGCTGATCAGTATTACAGGTGTGCAGGATCACACACAGCCAGACACAGATATATATATGAGAATTGCTTGGGCATTTGGCTTCATTGCTGTGGAATAATGATGTAAAGGTTTACGGGCTGAATGCTTCTTTCTCTTTGAAAAGTAAATCATGGTAGACAAGTGTGAGGTTTATATCAGCATAGATTAAAAATACTTTTGCTCAAACACTGTAACTTTTCACTAAAAATACCCAGTATTGAATTATTTTTCTAGAAACTTTCTTCAAAAAGAAAAAAGGAAACTTAAGAAGTTGGTGTTCTGCTGGAGCTGCCCTTGTATCTGGGAGCAGGGCATTTGCTGCTCCATTAATTTCAGTTAAGTTGTTCGGTTTGGGGCATATCTGGAAGCAGAGCTCTAAATCTGTCATGAAATGGCTGTTTGGTTCTGCAGACACTAAATGAAGTTGTCACCTCTGTGTTTTGTTGCTGCCAGAAGGGGACAGTGCCTGGCAAGAACATTTCAAAGAACAAGAATCTTGTCAGCTCAGATCTGCTGAGGGAAGGTGGGAGGGAAAGCCCTGGCTGTCTGTGGACAACACAGCCTGGAAAAGTGGGGGAGCTGAGGAGGTGTGTGAGAGGGACGAGCAAATGTCAGAGTCCAGTGTGGTAACCTGGGTGTGGAGTTCTGGAGTACCAAGGAGATGTCTTTTAGCTGGCATCATTTTGATAAACTAAAAACACTGCAAAGTGCATGTGTTAAGGCAGAAAACACAACACACTTGTGCTTGTTGCCTAACGCTCCAGTAATAAACATTAATTATTTATACCTTGACGTGGTGTTTCTTCTGCAGGTTTCATGAGCACTGGAGGTTTGTGCTACAGCGACTGGTGTTCCTGGCAGCATTCGTAGTCTACTTGGAGTCAGAAACATTAGTGACCCGAGAAGCTGTTGCAGAAATACTTGGGAGTAAGTTAATGTTGTAACTGAAGAGAAAAAGCTTGTGATCTTGGACACTGTAGCTTTCAGAGGTACAGGGAAACAGCACAACTTCATTTCTTCCTGAGAAATCAGTTCCAGGGTTTATCTGGATTTGATTTCATTATATAAACAACAAATTCTCAGAAGACGGAAATTGGCAAACCTAATGTTAACAAAAGCATTCATTAACAAGTTCTTCATCAATGAAGGCCATTCATTCAAAGTGTATAAATGCACCAAATGAATAACACAAAGATGAGAGCTTGTTTCTCTCACTTCTTGCTTTTGGCATTCAAAAAGTGTGTAAAACAGATTAAATTCTTTGCCATAAAAATTGTATGTTCACGGAGAAAAGATTTAAAGAAAGAAAGGAAGGAAAATACATCCTGTATATAGATGTAAATCCAGTTACCCTGTTGGATATCCAGTTGAGGATGTACAAGATGCTAAATCAAGAACTGAGAGGCTGTAATTATATCACATACAGGAAAAGCCTGGCTTTTATTTTGTAATAGTATTTCATAAATTTGATATTTCAAATTAGCACCAGTAAACAAATGCAATTTAAGGTGGCTGGGTTTGCTCATGCTCAGTACCACCTCATCACTGCTCTGTTTTTGTCTCAGTTGAAGCTGATCGAGAACGGGGCTTTCACCTGGACATTGAAGATTATCTTTCTGGTGTATTAACTCTGGCCAGTGAGTTGGTAAGAAAGATGTTCATGCATGTATTTGGTTTGAAACTGACCTTGAAAACAGAAGTAATGTGTTTTTTAGCTTTCCTGAATTATTCCTGGAGGTTATTATATATAACACCTTGATCTGAAGTTGCAGCAAGATGCTTCTCTGCATGTTCCTCGGTGATACTTTTAATGTTTAAACTAGTTATTTGATTGAAAATCCAGAACTATAGTCAGCAGAAAGGTAAATCTCTGTACAAATAATCTGACTGCCTGGAACACAAGTGCTTTGTTTGGTACAGTAACTGAAGGGGGATGTGATGTGGGTGGGTGCTGTGCTGACATTTTTCGGTGTCTCCTGTCGCAGGCCAGGCTGGCAGTGAACAGTGTCACAGCTGGGGACTATTCTCGCCCTCTCCGCATCTCAACCTTTATCAATGAGCTGGATTCTGGCTTCCGCCTGCTCAACCTGAAGAATGACTCCCTGAGGAAACGCTACGACGGCCTGAAATACGATGTCAAGAAAATTGAGGAAGTGGTTTACGACTTGTCAATCAGAGGACTCAATAAGGAGGCAACAGTTAGTGCATGCGGGGAGAAGTGAAGGATGCTCATTTGAACAGCATCATCAATTACCTCAGATGGTTGCCAGTTTAGGAAGTACCTAGAGAAGCCTTCCTTCAGTAGTTTAGAAGAACTGCAGCTCAAAGCTGCTCTCTATTTTCTTACAAAAGGTGTAGTACAGGTGTTAGATGTTTTGTAAAATCATGTCTAGATTGGGACAGGAGACTCTGTTTCCAGTGGAATTCCTCTGTCAAACACATGGTGCCATTCTCTGCACAGCAGCAATAGTAGTCAGTAACTCTCATGAGCTGAGATTCTCAGTAGTTCTGTAGTGCTGCTGTGGCTGTCTCTGCTCCCACACCCTCAGAGGTGTGTGCACAGCACACAGCTCAGTGCAGACACATGGGATCTTTTAAGAAACACAATGTGTAAATACTGACTTTTTTTTTAAGACTTTTTTTTTTCTTTTTATTTCTTAAATTTTCACCTATGTAAGTTGAACAAATTTGCATAACTGTTTATGAACCAGATCCAGATCTTTTTTAATGGTTTCTGTTAATGTACTCCCTGGAATTGAGAAATTAGTGAAAATACTCCTGAGAATTCCTCTATTGGAACTGGTGTCTGGCACCCTGGCATCTCATATATTTTTACCTTTCTGCCAAGATTTCAGTTACCAGGGAGAGCAAGGTTTTCTTAGACACCTGCTTTCTCTGTCTGGTATTTGTTTTACTGGCATGAGTAAATGCAGAGTTTTAAATGATGATTTGCCTTGAGAACTCAGTGTAACCAATTTTTATGTTTTCTTAATTTCCAAGTTTTCTGAATAGAGAAGTGTAAACTGATGAACTGCAGGTGGTGCCTGAGTTGTAACAACCTGTACAGGCCACAACTATGCCTGTGTCCTGGGATTAAAAAAAAAAAATCACAAAACTATAGTTTGTGTAGTAAAATGTTTCTATCTCCAGAAATGGGGAAGTTACTGCTTTCAGGTAAGTGTGTAAGATGTTTGCAAACACCAACACCCTCTTTCATGTGCATAAGTGGACAGACTCATGCCTCGCCATGCGCTTGTTCTCTTGTCCTAAAAGACTTTTGAGTTTTGCCATTCTCCTACTTCTGGTGGTGCAGGAGAGTTAAGGAGAACAGCTAACGTAGGAGGAGGAATACTTCAGAGGATAAATGGGAACAGTCAAGTTTGTGAGGTTTGTTAGCATTTTGGTTTCTTGGTGAAGGTTTACCAGAGTAAGGGGGTTGTTTTGTTTATTGGAAGAAAATGTTTTATTGGTTATTTTGGCCAATAAAAGCTGTTCTTTGATTATGGCCACTTGGTACCTCTGTTTGATCATCTGCTGTTATTTGCTTCCCTTGCTGGGAGCCTGCTCTGGAATACCAGCATTTCAGTTCATCCTTCAGCTGTCCTTGGACTATAATGGAGTTCCTGCCCTTCGCTGTAGTTGTTCAGTGGTGCACTTCTAAATACTGCCAAGTGCAAAGTCAAACTGCAAACAGATTTCATGGGCATTTTTCTTAAAATATTTTTTAATTTTGAGCAATTTCACCAAGTAAAATAGGAGAGCTATGGAGTTTATTCTTATGAATCCAAGAGATGGCAAGATTATCTTAAGAGCATCTCATAGTCTTTCATGTTTTCATCCTTTGTGTCTTATGTCACTTAACACAGGGAGATGGCAATATCCCCCTTTCACAGCTGAAGAAAATGAGGGTGTAACTTCCTGAGCCCTGTGGCAATATAACAGCTTTCAAAGTATTTCTTTGTTCTTGCCCTGTGCCAGTGTTTGCTCATTTCTCGACTTAACACTGTGGCAGTGGAGGAAGGAAGGAGCTTGAGCCAGTTTTACTGCCCAAACCAGAGATGAGGGGTAAACCAACACCCTAAGGCTATGCAGACACAGCTGTGCACTTCAAGGTCACACAGGAAATTCATGGTAGCAGGGGAATAGAGAAGGGTTTCTTGAGCATTAGCTTGGTGTGTCTCAGGTTAGAGGACTCCTGGCATGGGATATGAGGCCACGTGGCAGGGCAGCTGCTGGTTAAGGCTTTGTGCTGACTTACGTCCCAGGTGCTCCAGTTGCATTTGGTCATGCTGCAGGTCTGCTTCCTGACACGGATCCTGTGTGCCTAACACAGCTGTTCACTAGATCCCAGATCAGCCAGCTCTTGCTGGTGGGTTCTGAGACCTAGTGGAGATGAAACAGTGCTGTGCCACAGGTGCAGGTACCATGGGAGGGACAACTGGAAGAGCAAGGCTCTTACTTAGGGCTTACAGAGGTGCAAGGTGTGGAATCCTTCTATCTAAGGCTCTGTGAAGAGCAAGTGCCCAAGAAAGAGACACTCAGTATTGTGTTCATGGAGGGTGTTCAGCAAACACCTCGTTCTTTCCTGTTCTAGGTCTTGGGAGAGCCTAGCATCGTCCTCTGGGAAAGCACTTTGCAAGAGTCAGGCTACACGGCTCATTCTCAGACTGGGTCTGGAGAAAAGAAAACCACTAACTTTCTCCTTAGGAAGCAGTAGGGGAAGATGGGGGTGCTTTTGTAGCTTCCTCTGCACCACGATAGCCTGTAGGACCTTGTGACTTTGACAAGGAGTCTTCACATTAGTCTGATACTAAATGGTAAGTTGTGTTCCTGTCCCAGAGCTGGGAGTAGAGGGAAGAAGGGAAAACCCAGAAGGACTTGAATAGGGAAGGGGGAGCAGGGAATGGCAGTCAACTGCAAGACGCTTGATGGCTCATGGTGAATCAGATGCACTTCAACTCTGAACAAGTGACTCCTGTTGGTACTGAATGGATGGCGAAGACTGTGCTGGCAGCTGGGAGGGGAGTGAGTCAGCGCAGGAGCACTGGAGAGTCTGACTCAACACCCAGCACGGCTGTTCCCTGAGCTACTTCAGCCTCAAGTGTGTTCCTGGGAGTGCTCTCTTGCTTCGTCTTTGTATTCACTAACTTGTTTGTTTGGATTTTTCCCATCTTGATGTCATTTCTGTGTGTTTTCTTTATTTCAGTAAAAAGGGTACTTAAATAGTTGATTAATGGCTCTTTATTTATAGCCCTGCCTGCTGAAGCCCAGCAGATCAATGAAAGTGCTGACCTGAAACAGTTCAGGAAGCTGGGGTGAGCAGGATGCACAATAGACCTTGAGGCTGGCTCTTGAACTAGGCTCTGCCTGCTGGAATTGATTAACTACAGCCAGCCCAGCCACCTCTTTAAACTGGCACTTTTTAGAGGACATATTATCACCTCCAGGCTGCCCTTTCCTGTTGCCAGCAAACATCTTTGTGCAGTGAGCTGGATCAAGGAACTGATTTAGCTGAAACAATCTTTATTTTTCAGCAGTGTTTGCTTCTGACCTGGTGCATCACACAGTCCCCCCTCCATGCTGTGCCAGGGTGTTAGAGGGAGGCTTCTTCCTCTCCCTGCAGTGCCAGCTTTCAGTATTCTCTGAGCTGTAACACTGTATGGTAAATGGTTTGTTTTTTCTTGCAGTAATTTAACTGCTTCCCGTTTTGAGAGGATTGCCAAGGATTTTCTCTCTGAATAAATAATTTGCCTTCATTTCACTGCAAAGTGACTGAGTTACAGAGCCTCACCCAGGTTTTTCAGCCAGCAAGGTCATTACATGCTGGGGGTCTGTGAGTGGATCCTGACCCATCATTCATCCACAGTCCATCTTCTCTTGTTCAAGTACTGCCTCTGGATGCAGCTCTAGTGAAGAGAGCTGCACTGGACCTAGGGGTGCAGCTCTATTAAAGAGTGTAGGGGTTGTTCAGAGTCTCCTCCCTGCTGAACTCATGGAGTGCCATGAAATGAGTGTTAGACTTCAAAGGAAGACTCCTATCTGTTTTGCATCTCCTGCCTGTGTGTTGTGGGTCAGGCATGAGTTAGGTAAGATGAGTATCTCCTTGCAGGCTTCACTGCCTGTTTATCGTGACTTCAAGCTGGCACTTCTGGTTTGCATTGGTTGGTCAGCACTGGGGGCTTGCCCTGCCCAAGGAAAACACGGCTGTTCAAAAACCAGCCCTTTCTTGAAAGGAGGAATACACTCCTCGTCTGCAGCTTGTTCACCTGCACATTCACACTCTGGGTGTATGAACATCTAACCTGGGGAAAATATAAGAGCCTGAGCTCTGCAAGGTGCTCTGCTCCCCTGGAAGTCTTCCCAGGGATGTCACTCTGTCCCAGGAGGGAAGGGTTCAAACCACCTGGGCCTCTGCTGCAAACAAATCCTTTGTCTGATTCCATGCAGAGAACCTTCCCTGAGAAAGCTGTTTGCAGACTGGGTCTTCTCAATTGCAGCTGAGATAATTTCTCAGGGATGCAAAGCCTGCACTGGTAGAGAGCACACTGGGGCAGGTTTTGAGCTGGAAAGTTGCAAATTATTATTATGTTAATCCTTGCTAATGGTTCTAGAGCCTAATGCCATATTTTCAACTCTTTCTAGATGAGTAACTGCTCCCAGTCAAGCCTGGGCAGAGACCAGTGCTGGAGGATGCTCTGCCTGTGTTCTGATTGCCCCAAAGTGTTCTTCCATCTCTGCTGAAGAATAGCAGCTCTGCTCCTATCACTCAACCTTTGCATCACGTAGAATGGTTTCCCTCAGGGGGATCACCTTCAGTTTTCCAGGGGAGGTGTATTCTTTTCTAACGAGTGCCCTTAGGGTTTGCCTGGAGTTTTTTGACTGTGTAATGTTACTGTAAAACCTTCATTTTTCTTCATTGTTTGTACCTATGTCTGTTTAGATTGCTCCTCTGCAGCAGCACTTGACAAATAAGGCAGTTCCTTTGTCCACCTGATCAGCAAGACATTTTGCTCCTTCATACTCTATTGTAGTGACAGGTCACTCGATGACAGTGAAAGCTTTGAATGTTTATCTGCTCTCTGGGAGGACAGTTTCCTCTGTTGCTTTCAGTTCCAGGTTTTTCCAGTTTCAAGTCAGAGAGGAGACATCACAAAATGAGAGTTACTAAAGTTGCCTCATCTGTGAGCCCTGAAGGGATCTTTGACATAGTGCTAGAAGATTCAAACTTTTTTTCCTCTTTGAACATGTCAGGGATAAGCAAGACAGTGCAAGATTCTCCAGAATCTTCTGCTGGGGAAAAAAAAAAAAGTATTTCTGGGACTTCTGCTGCATTATAAATTCATATACAGCAAAGTCAGGAGATCTGAGATGATCTCAGCTTTTTTTCAGGATTTGTGGTATGCTGAGGTCAATCCCAGGCTCCAACGACAATGTTTGCTGCCAGACCAAAGCGAATTCTCCCTCTCAGATGTGCTCTTGATCAAATAGTGGATTGAGCATCCCTTCGCCATCTACACTTCTGTTAAGGACAACCAGGAAAATACAAGGACACCTTAAAGGAGAGGATCTCTATTCAGTAAAGCAGAAGTGCCTGCCCTCTGAAGTACTTACTCTTTATCTCCATGTGTTTTCTTCAGGCTTTCCTACCCACCCTCGTGACTCATAAATGACCTATTCCTTCTTTCCTTGGGACCTGAGCTTACAGAGGGCTCTTAATCCAGTGTTTTGTCATCTTGTGTGTCTGCCTTCAGAGCTCAAATCTACATGGACTCTAAAAATAAAGACTTTTGTTGCTTTCCTGGTAAATGACCAGTAAGGCTCATACTAAGTTCTTTTTAAAGGTCATTTATGAGTTCTGATAAATCAAGGGAGTAACCAACTTTCTCTTTTTTCCCCTGACTAGGGGTACTTATAGAAAGTTTTCCTTTTACTACCTGGGTAAGTTCAGTGGGAAGGAGTCTTGAAAAGTAATCTTAGTATTGTCAGTCATGACAATGAGAGGCATAAAAATATTACAGAGACCTAAGACGGCCAGCCTGGAACAAATAATTGCTTTCTTGGCTTGCAGACAACCTTGTTCCAAGTACCCTGGGTTATAATAGCATTTTGTCAGTTTGTTAATCAGAAATGGAAAAATACAGCACAACTAATCTCCATGGCTGCCAAGTAAGATGTGTACATGTGATACTGAAAGACCTGGAACTTCCCAGGAGAGGGATCATCTAGTTCAGAAGGGTGCCTGAGGATTATGGAAATCTACTGCCTTGTCAGTGTACTGACACTCTTGCCCTTCTTGTGCTGCCTCACCCCATGCCACAGCAGGGCCACAAGGATTGTTCCCTGCTCGTGTCCCCTTTCAACACCAGTAATTGACAGGCAGGCGAGCAGCTGCACACACCGGATACATAAAACGAGTGTGTGCTGGAAGCACAACCTCTGCCCAGTCCGACAGGTTCTGCAATCCCACTGTCACTTCCCATAGCTGTCCCAGATCAAAGGGCTTGTACTTACTGTTCCTTGGCTACAGTTTTTTTAGAACAGGGCTACAGCACCAAGTACACGTCCTGCTCATAACTCAATACCCGGTGATTATTCATAGACCTTCTTCTGGGGAGAGGAAATAAACCATGATTACAGGAGCCTGGCAAGCAGGTGCTTCCTGTGATACCTAGAAAAACCCTGAATCTGACAAATTGAACAATCAACCAAACATAAGATTTATGCTAAATATCAAACCTTTTACGTGCATTATTGTTCTCTAACCTTTTTGAACAGCCAGGCTGGCTGAAGGTATCTTGATTTAAAGATATGACTGTACAAATGGTCCACTGGTGGTTTCCAGCATGAATTGATTGTGGAGAAAATCACTGTGCTGGAAAGTAATTGAAAACTTTCCAGCAAGCAGCAGTTTCGTGTTGCTGTGAAAGCCACTCACTGTTTAGATAAATTGGGCTGTTAACTGTACTTATGCCTTCTCTTGTCAGAGATGCCCCAGAGAAATGAAGGTGGCTGTGCCATTGTGGTTTTGAGAGAGAAGACAAAGGTGCTACAAGCTGTTGCTTTTTGCATGTGAGGTGAATGGGGCTTGAAGGCTCATAGATGAGATCTGTCATGACAGCATAAGAGAAATTTTCCTCCAGCAGCTGCTCTGCTCAGGAATCTGTCTCTGTGAAAAACAAATGGCAAACTAAAAGCAATGCCTCGTGCTCTTCACTGGCTGTTGAGTGCATATTTTGGGGGAACAGTTTATTGTCTAGTGATTAGAAAGAGCTGGAGGGAATTCCAGCTCACCTGAGGGAGCCAGGCTGCTGCCCTGACAATCACTTTGACAGCTATGGCTTGCTATAGAGCTCAGCTGTGTGTGGCCACACTCATATCCTCTCCAGATATGCAAATCTTCTTATTTCCTCAAGGACAATACAAAGCACTGAGGTGCTGGATGGTGCAGAACAAGAGAAAATACAGCCAGTAGGCACATGTCAGTGGTGTCTGCCGCAGTGCCCAGAGCAGTGCAACAAACTCTGGAAGCTGTGGCCAGAGGACAAAGCACTGGGCACAGTTTGAGGCTTGCTCAAATGCTGGGTCAGTAGTGACTTTACAATACTAAGGCTACCTTTGTGCAGATGGCTTCTGTCTGCCTTCATTGGTGATCTTTGATACTGGTTGATCTCTGGAGAAATACACAACTGTGCTTGTGTGAATCCCACTGTGAAATAAATGCCTGTAATAAAAATATTTTGTTGGTAATGAATAATACTGATTGGCTTTGTCTTTACCCTGTGGGCCTGAATGAACAGGCTGTCCTCTCAGATCCATGGACCAAAATTCAGCCTCCTTTAATTTAGCCTCCAGGCTGAAATCTGGCCTTTGCTGTGTAAGTCATAGCATGACATTTTGCAAAGCAGCGGTCAGTGTTAATGTCAGGCTGAAAAGGTTAAACCCTGTTTGCCTTTTTACCATTGTTCAGCTTCTAGTCATTTCCCTGCTGAGCAACCCAGAGAGGCTGGGCCTTATGAGGCAGTTATTTGTGGCCTCAGTTTTGGCTCCAGAGCAAAAGGGTTTGTACCAGTCTGTTGTTGTCTAGTGAGAATTGGAGTAGCAGGTTTGTACCATTCACCCAGTCTCATTTGGAGTAGCCCTGAATTCTGTTCAGGGGATCCACAGAGCAGACACGGGCACATTGCTCATCAGAATGCCACCCATATTAAGTGAAATACATACTCCA